TAGGTGTCATTTGTTACCACTCACACACCCAGATGGACAGTCCATTTCACACTACATCAATTTTAAAATGCTCCTCCTCTGCCAATCCAAATTGCTCCAATACATCTCTCCAAGCTCCTCTGGGTCATTCCCATCTTTTAGTTCCATTCAACCTCTTTCTTCACCTTGCTCACTCTTTGACTCAAAATGGTTACAGTCTGCTCTGCTCTAATTAAATCACATGTGCCTGACATGCACATAACCCCATTCTGAACATTCTTGGAACCAAGTGCAATATTTGTTTTTGCTAAATAAACATTCTTCGACTGGTTCCCCAGAGGACAATCACTCAATGAAGGCCAGAGAACTTAGTCAGAGCCAAATTTAGAGATGGGAAGCGTGGGATTGAGCTGGGGGGGGCATATGCAATGGGAGTGGGGAAAAGGAGAAAACAGAGAGATAGAGACAGAAAGAGAGGGGGGTAGAATAAGAGGGAGCAGAACATCTTCCTACTGTTCTTCTGCATTGTTAACTTCAAAAATGTAAAAAAAATCTCAAGTTAGCATTGACTATTTCCAGGTAAATGTCATAAGATTAATTAGCAACTCAACACTTGGGAACAGATTGCTCAGAACCAACTCCAGATTCATTCTGTCTACTCTGATCCGCTCTGGATTCAGTCTGGCAATCCCAATCCAGTCTGGGTTCATTGGCAAGGAACAGTCCATTTGTGCTGTGTTTAATGTTCAATGCTGTAGAATTCCCTGTAAATAAACTCCGGGTAAAGTTTAGCTAACCATTCTCTGGTGCCTATGTAACAACCAGTCACTCAGCATCTGGCCGTACGAATCTCTTTCCTGCAGCTATCATCATCAAACAGCCCTTCATATCCTTGGGAGATGGCATGTTGCAAATGTTGCTCGCCAGTCTGGCACAGGGTAATTGTCCTGACCAAGAAAAGGCTGGTGTGCAGCTCCTGGGTAATGCAAAAACTGCACAGAGCTTCTGTGGACCAACAAGGGCAATTTCTAAAACATGTTTCTTCACAGTTCCTCGACCACGTCCCACCACACGTCAGTCTGTCTCTCATTTTGTACAAAGAATGAATGCTCACTGATCCCTCCAGCACAATCTGGTAAAATGTTGGTCAAGATTGATAAAAATCTTGAAATTGTAGTTATAAAAGCCATTTTTAAAAATGCTGAAGGGGAGGCCAGACACTACGCTCATCAGCTCCTGAAAATCTCTCCTGTTTATTAATATCAGCAACACTCCCCTCCCTGTGCCTCACTCCCACTACGATCCACCCTAAGCTTCTGACTCTCACCCTTTACAATATCCAGGTGAGATAATAAAGAGCAGGTCTGTGTATTCGATAACACCTTGGTTTGGAAAGATTAAACATGGGAATGATAGAGGTCAGAAACATGAAATGTGCTATTTGCAGGTTTGTCTGATGTACAATTGCTGCCCATATGAACTGCAGGTGCCTGCAGACCTGTTGATGTAGATGCCAAGATTTCGCTAGGCAGCTGAGCATTAACCCTTCCATTAACAGCGTGCACCACTATATAGTTACAGCCCTGGATTTGCCTGCTGTATCTTGTGGCTTGAAGCCAACTTCCATAAACAGATGTGATCGTCAATTAAACAAACCATTCCCCCCTCCGCCTGGCGAGTCCCTACAGCCTGCATACATGTTCCAGAGTTTAACAATCAACCATTAATTACTTTAAACTGCCCCACAATCTCTTCCAATACAAAATAAAAACACCTGACCAAGCTACACAGGTTAAACAAATTGTTCAGATTTATTTAAACATTAAAGTATTACAAAGGCCAAAAAGTTCAGCAAAATACCAATCAAGACCATACAGACAATAAAATTTGAATCAGTCTGCAGGATTTGAAGATCCGGTTATCAACCTGTGGTCCTGATTGTCTGCAACATGCAATAAGACATTTGGATGAAACGACACTGTCCTCTGCAGACTTTTAATCAAAGTTATTGAGCAGAAACAACACAAAATCTTCTTTTGATATTTAAGATTACGCTGAATGATTGAGCTGTGATTCACACCAGGACACCATTCTCGTTGAAACCATTTTGTTCCAAGTAAATAAAGTGTTCAACAGGTCCTGGACCTTGTAAGGACAGATGTTCAATTCTAGATTGTGCATTTATTCCCCTACAAGGAATGTCCTCCCCAGTTCTGGAATCCATTTGACTGACTCAGTATTCAGATGTTGGGAAATTGCCCAGCTCCTGTCTCTGTCATTCCACAGATTTCTGAATGCAAAAGTCAGCCGATCTGTCACCAATGTAATTCTTAACATAATTACAGTGGAAGCCCAAAACAATACGTTGAGAATTTGGTTATAGCGCAGACGCCTTAAGACTCCCAAAAGTTTTGACAAAATTGAAGAAAACATTTAGCTGGAATCCATTGTTTGTTCCACAATCAAAGTCAATCAAATGTTCCAAAGCCACCCAGCTGTGATCCCCTCACTCCGCCACGATCGCAGTAATTATCACTTTATTAATGACAACTAGTTTCAATGTTTGTATAGACAGGCCTGGATTAGCAAACCATAGTGTCCCTACGTCTGAGGCAGGAGGTCCAGGTTCAAGTCCCACCTGCCCGAGATGTCTCATAATATGTCTGAGCAGGCCGATGAAAGACAATTAAAATGATGGGAAAGACACGGTGTTGCAAGATCCACGTAACGTTGAGATTGATAGCTAAGAGAAAATCAGAAATTTCAAGCAAAGGTCCTGTCGTGACACCAGCATCACCAGAGGCTACATCAGCATAAATAACAAATGGAGGTCAATAGTGTGCATCGTTAGTAATACTAAAGAGTTGGTCAGTAAAAGAGCTTGTATGGTCAGTGAGGCCTGCCTAGATTCAGCTGGTTTATTCAGGCAAAGGCAGAAGGAACTCACATCTCAGCTGCCACTGTGAACACCTGGTTGATGAAATGAATGGACAAATACATTTCATGGCCAATGGTGGCTAGTTCAATAGTTTAAGACCTCTGGAGAGATGAGGTCAGTGAAATGAGCTGCAGCTCACACTAACAGTCCTAGATAAGAACCTTGAAGCAACAGGGTTTCATATCAAAGCAAGCGTAAAGTGCACAAGAGATAGTGCAGTTCTGCACGATGTGGCCTGATACCATCCTGACTACCACAATAGACATCATGAAGATACAGATGTTAAGCAATACAAGAAGCTAGGAACATTCCTATTGGGCTGTAACTAACTCCTTCTGTGATTGGGAAGTCCAGGAAATTGCAATGCCAACATCATGTGAGCATGAACTCACCACCATTGTACTACAGCAATAACACTGCCTGGATCACAGGGGGGATGTTTTTCAAATATTTTATGCCCAGTGTGAGGAAGCATTGAAGTCTGAGAGTACTGGAGAAAGCTATCCCATTACGAGAATGTTTTTGGAATAGTTTCTTAGAACAGAACAGCATGTTCGAGAGCCAACCAATCAGGGTATCCCAGACCTGGGATTAATGAAGGTGGCGTAGGTAAGTGTGATCATAACTTGATTGAAAATTACATTGAATTTGATGGACCGAAGAGAGGGTCTAAGACTATTAATTTAAACTTGATTAAGGATAGTTATGAGGGCATGAAAGCAGAGCTAGCTAAATCAAAGTGGAAAAGCAGAATTAGCAATAGATCAATTGATGTGCTGGCAAACATTGAAAGGGTTTTTTCAGAATACACGATAGACAGATTACAACAAGAACAAAACATTTCAAGGTAAGGACCACCACCAACAAATTCCAATGCTTAAAGACAATATCAAACTTTAAGGAAAAACTTAGAATTGCACAAAACCACAACGCCGGACATGCTGGACTGGATAACAACAGTAAATAAGGAAAAGATTAATAGGAGAGGAAATTAGAGCATGAGAGGAAGTGAGCTAGAGAAAAGAAAGCAGAGAACAAAAGTTTTTTAAAACTTATTTCTTAAAAAAAAAGAGTTAAAGTCAGAATTGGTCCTACAGAAAGTAAGTCTTGGGAATTAATAATAATTAATATTAAGATGGAAGATGAATTGAGCACATATTTTGGATCAGCCTTCACTATGGAGGAAACAAGCAACATCCTAGAAATAGCTGTAAATCAGGAAATGTGAGGCAGGAGGAACTCAAAAAGACTACAATCATTAGGTGGTGGTGGTGAGCAAATTGTTGGAGCTGTGGGCTGGTGTTAATTTTCCAAAATACCCTCAATTTGGGGAAGGTTCCTTTAGATTGGAAAAAAG